AAAATGTTCACATTTTTACAAATCATCCAAGGATTGCTCTTCATTTTATTTGTAATGAAATGAAATCTGAAACAAGTTTCTACAGCCAGAATAAACACGGATGGATGTGGGGCACACCCTCAGTCCTCCCACCGTGCCAGAGGCTCTAGAGGTGAGGTAATGCCAGCCCTGACATTTCTTCTGCCTCCCCAACAACCTGACACGATGTTGTCTCTGGAACACGTCTGAGAGTGACTTTCAGGCTACATCTGCACAAGGAAATTTTCTGAAGATTGCTCTTCTGACCTAAGGCCATCTGTCAGAGCAGCGTTTCTGTAAGGCAAAAACCCTCATTATCTGCTCTCTCATTCTCCAGCACAGAACGGATGCCTGGCCTAGACAAAGAACCAGAATGGTCCTTGACCCACATCACAATCTGAACTGGACCAGGGTATTTTTTAGGAGAATACTAACTGGTGAGAACAAAACTGTGACAAGAAGTAGGCTAACAGATCCATGTGCTAGCCCTGATCAGTGCAGACAGTTTTTCAATCCCAGTGATCAGGGAACACATGGATCATCAAATAAAAACCTATGGCCAACGTTTTCCCTGGGTCAGCTCCGTAGATTACTTAAATGAACCTTCATGAAACTTCCATGAAACATGATGGAAAGGTATATTGCAAGAACCAGAGTGGTTGTCTCTCAGGAAAGAAAAAAAGATCCTGGTGAAATGGCATAAATTAAGATTATCGAGCACACCTCATTCCACCTGCACAGGCAGCTGAAACAATGCAGATTTTTCTTTGCAGTTAGCCAGCTTCCTTTGAAGCAAGCTTTAGAGACAAAACTTGCATTAATTTCAGTGGGGCCTTGGGCTGTGCACGGTGTGCAGAACAGAGCCCTCTCCTGGTAAGCCCTGAAGATAATTGAGGACATCCCTGGCACCGTATTTGGCACTGTCTGCAGCACATATCTCTGTGATGAAGTATTGAACGTAGGCACTCAAAATAAAATATTAGAAAAGCTCAGCTATTTGGAGCCATGGAACCTTATGATTGAGGTCAGATTTGTTTGGATTTAAAAATATATGAAAATCTAAGTAACACTGAAATGATGGCATACCTGAAAACTGAAACCAAAAAATAGGTTATATAACATACTTAAAGGCACAGTTGGCATTTCAAGATCACAATGACTAGCGAGTTATAACCTGTTTTTGAACCCACAGCTGAACCCTGCATGTCGAATTACTGAAAAGGGTGGGTCACCTTCTTTTTAAACATGAAATCTGATAACCAGGTCAAAAGAACCCCCATTCATTCTTTCTTTTTACGACTATAAAGCCATGAAGCACCAATAATAACCTTAAGTATACAGATCAACACTCTTTGCCTAATTACATGCCTTTGGATTTCATACTTGAACCTGAAAATAAGAAACCATATTTCAAAGCCCTGCTTTTGCAAAACAAAATTTGCAACAGGTACCTCATCTGGATGTAGGACATGGTAGGCACTTAAACAAATCATAATAATGATCCATTGCCAAAATAGTGGCTCTCTGTCATTAGCTTTTCTCAGAATAACTTTACCATAATTCCTTTGCTTAAACAGCAACACAACCTTGTTGTCACTGAGATGCAATGCAAAAGAATATTGGTTTAATTTTAAAATTATTTATTAATATTCCAAACCGCATATTGGTTTTAGTAACATATGCAAACATGATTCTCTGGGGCCACACTGCTTATGACTGTAACCTCACTAGATTTCACAAGGTAAGTAGGGTTGGGTCTGTAGTATTTGCATGGAAGACTTCCAAGGAAATTCCATGTTGATCTATGAAAAGGTATTTGTGCAGTGTGGCATTCTTCTGCTGATGCGGTATTGAACAAGCAGAAAGAATATGATCACAAGTGCTGTCTTTAATTAAGAGGTAAAACCAAGGATACTGAGCACTTGTGGGCATTAAACACCCCATGGCAGTTTTTGCCAGTGTAGGAGTGCCTGGCCAAACACCAGTCTAGATAATTGCATCCTGCCTACTTATATTCCCATGTTGCTTTAAATGGATAAGGCATTATTCTTCTATTCTGGTGTAAAAGTGGATCCTGCAGCCCTTCCTTGGGCTCTGTTAGGACTATTTCTAGCATGACCTTCTCTATGGTCATACAGAGTCCTTTATGTGAATCAATGCATTTTACTACATTTCGGATTTGCCGCCTTCTGAAATCACTTCCACTGAGCTCATGGGAATTTACTTCGGCCTAAAGACATTGATTTAACCAAAAATCACCATTTAATTACTGCCTGTGAGTCATTCTTACAATAAAACTTTGCAAAAAACTGTCTGATTATCAGATCTGTTTCTGTAGGACTCCCTTCAGTGGAGTGACTGCCCATCCTCACCAAAACCAACAGCAAAACGGCAGCATCGCAATGGCATCAAGACCAGGCTCCTTACTGGGAGATTTGCATTTGGACCATACCATGTACCAACAGTGCAGGCATCTCACACCTCCACAATTTGAAGCAAGTTACACTGAACAAAGATACAGACAATCTTTTCAAGTCAGCTGTACATTTTAAGAGGGGGTGCAACAAATGGTTAAGAGCTTGCTTTAAAGCAATATGTCCATTAAAACGACCAATGTTACTGCAGGGCTGTTCCCCACAACAGGAATTCGCTTCATTGAAGTGGAAGGAAACCAGACTTCACAAAACCTTCATTACCATGTTCGAGTACCTCACAACAGACCACCAAGCTGCCACTCACCCAAGTCCCCTGGAAAGGAAGGAGTTGTTAGAATGTTTTCCCTGCAGAAGGAGCCTTTTAGCAAGATGGGTGCTGGCATTAGTCACAACTTAGTTTATGGCAAGGCTGTCAATCATAATTATTCCTACAAATCTGAGTTTTCTCCCCTTCCAATTACTCTCTAAACTCTTATTTTCAAAATTAATTTCCTATTTCTGTCTTGTCCTACACTATGTCAATTTGAAGGCTGGCTTTTGGGCACTTTTTTAGTTTAAAAGGTTTTCTAGCTGTATTTGTGTAGGTCAAAAGAGTTTTCCAAGTCTGCTCTCTTTCTGAGTGGCGAGTCTCCCAAGACAGCAAATACAGGGTTTTTATAGACTTGTTTTCATGAAGATTCAGTCATCTGAAATCTGAAATTCTTTAGGAGAAAGATGACCATGTTAATAGAATTCACTGAATGCAAATTATGAAATACATAGGCTTGAGTAAAGTGAAATAGCTCTACATAGTATCACCAAATGCAAAGAGAAGGCAGGTAGGAAAGAATTTTCACAAACCCATACTTTTTCCCCTCTCCTTTCTGGTGACTTGCTGACCTCAAAAGCTTCTAACATTCATGACTTCTGAAGCCCAAGACTTTTCTCTCACATCTCTCTCCAAATATAGGGCCTAACGTTTGCCTCCTCTTTTAAATCTTTTACTTAGACCCTTTGGAGAGTGAAGTTAACTTGACAGAAAGAGGGTGATGTATCTGGTTGAACAACAGCCACTCAATCCACTCAGTGAAACTATAGTCAGAAGATAATACAAGGTGAAGGGTAAGGGTATGAAATGTGACTAAGCAATTAGGGATTTTCTTCCGCTTCCCCACACAATGGAGCAAAGAGGACCAAATGCAGCTGCTGAATTTCTTGCAGAGAAGAGTGTTCAGTTTCAGAGCAGGAAAGGACTTTGCCTTCATCCACGCTGACCAGCTTGAGAGAAAGGAGACAAATGTATCCTATAAAAGGGTATGCCAACCAGCCCTGTCGTGTGGCATTTGATCATACTTGATCATTCAAACTCAGGATTACTTTATAGTGTTAGCTTCTTCTAGAAAAAAACAAAGTGGAAAAATGAAGTGTGGACTTCACTACCTGTACTCCAGCAGATTAACATTAATCAATCCTACCCTTCAGGGCCCCCTCCTTTGCTCCCATCACTACTAACTGCAGATGTCACGGAGTAGCGAAGGCAGAAGGTCCAGGCCCCGGGCGGGCTGTGAGGCCGGGGACCGCGGGAGAGACACTTTGGAATTGTCTGGTGGCAGGCTCAGCCGGCGGTCCGTGCCCGCCGCGGTGTTGGGAGCCGGGGCAGGGCAGTGCCGGCGAGCCGAGCGGGGCAGAGCGGGTGAGCAGCGGGGCGGCCGTGCCGAGAGGGGCCGGCCCGGGGAGCAGCCCCTGCGGCGCTCCCGGCACAAGTGCGGAGCGGCGCCCCGGGGCTGCGCTCGCTGCCGGCCCCTCGCCCCTCACCTCCGCGCTCCGGGACGGCCTTTTGGGGCGGGAGGGCGGGAGGGGGTTACCTTTTCTTAGGGAAGTCCCGTCCCTTGCCAGGGAAGCTTTACGTTCCTGTGCGTGAGAGGCAACTAGTTGCACTCACTGAAGTGCGAGGAGTGTTTGGCCTCTCCCGTACCAGCCTCCTCCTCCATCTACCCCCCCCCCCCCCCCCCCCCCCCGCCCCGAATTTCCCCTCCCGTTTTGCTCCGAGTTGCTCTTTATTTGTGTGCGGAGAAAGGGGTGGGGGGGACGACTTGCAGGGGGGATGTTCTGTTTTGGCCAGAGGAACAGTGCAAAAGGGGAGCCTTGGCTCGGAGAAGGTACGAGAATAAATAAATAAAGAGCGGCCCTAAAATAAAGGTAGCGGCATATCCTGGCAGCGAGAAGGTGAGTGTCTCTGACTTCCCCGTCCCTGCATCTCCCTCCCACCCCTTCTGCTCGGAGGTGGAGGAAATGGGTTCCCTGTCGCATGTGCATGTGTCCGTGGAGGGGGTGTGTGCGTCTCCTTGTATTTAGCGTTTATTCAGCTCTGTTTTCATGTCGGTTCGATGACAGCAGCAGCAACAACAACAAAGTTGCTGTAAAACAAATGTGATGGGAGGGAGCAGCGGAGCCGTCCATCGCGGGTTAGAGACGAGCTTTTACCCCGGCCCCACGCGAGTTTAACTGCAAAAAAACCAAACTGGTTTTCCGTGCGGACGGGGCGACTTTTTCCACGCCCGGCCGGACTTACTGCCTCAGTCCAGGTGATGTTCCCTGCTGTTTAGCCCTCACCGCTCTTCGTCTGGGAGGCTGCTGGGGTAAGCCCCAAGAGAGGAGCAAGCCGCGACGGCTGCCGTCGCATTGTTCCCCGCTTGCGCCCCCCGCCCACTCCCGGTGCGGCGGAAGCGGGGGGCCGGGGCTGCGCCCCGAGAGGCCGGGGGCTGCCGGCCCGCCTGGGCTGGGCACCGGGCTCTGCCGGCCGCCAGCTCGCCCTGCCGACAGCCTGCCCTTGCGAGGGCCGGCCGGGGGGGCTAGCGGCGGCTTGGCCGGAGGCTGTGAGGAAACAACATCTCTGGTGGCGGCGTACCCTCCGGACAGAGCGGCATGAAAACACGTAGGGATGGCAGTCCCTTCCCGAAACCCGCGCTCCTCCAGCGAGAGTCCCGGCAGCGCGGGGGCAAGGCAGCCCGGCCGGGACGCCGACAGGGGCACGGGCGGCAGTGGCAGAGGAGCCGCTCGGTTCCGCCCGGTTCCTCTCGGCTCCGCCGCCCGCCCTCCGCCCCGCGCTGCCCCGGCCGCGCTCGGGGGTCTCCGCTCCCCCCTGCCCCGGGGCGGAGCGCTGCGGGCGTGCCGCGCTCGGGGTACCGGCGGACGGGGCAGGCGGCTTCCCTCTGCCTCCGGGCCGGCAGCCGTCGCGGGGGCTCCGGCGGCCACTTTTTCGAGTGTCCGAAGGGAGCGGGGACAGGGCTGCCCGTTGTTTTTGTTCCTCTCCGTTTCCTCTCCCTGGGGGATGTCTCTTGCCCTTCCCCTCCCCCGCCCCGGCTTGTTTTTCTTGTGGTTTAAAGACAAAACGTTGCGTTTTCGGGTCGTCCCACCGCGCCCCCGCCCCCGTCGCGGTCTCCGCTCCGCCGGCCGACGGGGCACGGGGAAGCCCCGGCGCGGGGGTCCCGCCGCCTTTTCCCCCGGCAATGCGGGGACTTGTGTTTTGGTTAGAAAGCGTTTCCACGTGGGTAAGCCTTGTGTGTTCATGTGTGTGTGCGCGGGTGTGTGCGCGTACTTGATCCGCGAGGAGGTAACAGGATTCTCCGTGTTCAAAACCAGCGGGCTCTTAGCCATTAATCTCCTTCTCCTGCTGTCACTACAGACACTTCCAAAGTCAGATACCCGCGGAGAGCCGCCGGCCGCGTTTCACACGGCGGCTCTCGCCGAGCCGCGGGGGCTCCGCGCCGTGCCCGGCCGGACACAGCACTGCCCGGGGAGCAGCCCCGCGGCGCCTTCCGCCGGCAAGGGAGAGCGGGATCCCACGGCATCGCCGCTGCCAATCGGTAGTTGGCATCTAAAGTTTCATTTACATTTATGAAAGTGGCGCTCCGAGCCAAGCAGGCGCGGTGCCGCCGGCTCCGTAGCCGCGGGCAGGGCTGGCAGCCGAGCGCACGGAGGGACGCGCTCGCTTCGCCCGTGGCGGTGGGAAATAGCTGGTGGTCACCAAAACCCTGGGACGCACGCTGAACCAGACAAGGGAGCGACCTGGCCGGTTCCAGTTAAAGTATGAAGTCATGCTAGAACAGTAAGGAACGAGTATTCGCAGTTTTCTGAGTTTTGTTTTACTCGTTTCATTTGCGGAGACTAGAAAGCGTATCTAAGGTAAACTAATCAGCAGTTTAGATTTAGAGGGAGTTATGCGAAGAAAGTATCTTTTCTGTTTGGCAGATAGATTTTCTGGTCTGACCTCGGAGTTTGATGTTAGAAGCATGTACTTTGCAATAAAGCTCAGGCCGTATCTTTGTTTCATTTCCCTAACACTCAAAAGAAGTTTCGTAAAATTGCTGCGGGTTTGACTCTTCCCCTAGCATTTCTGAAAATGCTGCCGAATAACAAATGCTTGCATACTTGCAATATACACATACTGTGAGTAAAGTGGAACTACAGACTGACATTTCTCTCTCTTCCTAGTGATTCTTTCTCTGTTTGACATCTAACATTAGCTGGGCTATGTCTGAAACAGGTCTTTTTGCCTTTTTTTTTTTTTTTTAAGTGCGGTATTTATGTTACCAAATGTTCTTCTACCAGATTTAATAGAAATGAAATTGGAGTATGTTGACGAAACTTTTATGTATCTTTGTTCAGATAATTTGTATGCATGTATGTGGATAATAATATGTTCAGATAATTGTTACATGTATGTGGTGGTATTGATAATAAATTTAGTTGAAGGTTACTCTTGCTGGATTTGTATTTATTAATGGCCTCACAACACTTTGCAGTATAAATTTATTCTGTGTGGATAATGCCAATGGAAGAAATAAACCCTAAACAAGCAGTGTATTGAGTAGGGCACTGGGGGGTTCTTAGTTGCAGTTCCCAGTTGAAATATTTCAAACAAGGCAACTGTAGAAATACAGCTATAGATAGTATCATGTGGCATATTTTTAGCATCTGATGCAAGTGTTAAAGTTTAACTCTTTAAACTTTATGCAACTCTTTCAACTTTATGCAAATCCTAGAATTAATGTTAAACATGGGCATTTGGTGAGGGAAAGGTACCTGTCTGTTTCTTTGATGAACTGGTGGTATTGGATGATGTTTTGTGCAATCCTCCAGTGTTAAAATTTAAAAAGCACTTTACTCTCTTAAATACACAACTTACCACAGAAAGAAAAAAGAAATTCCTGGAATTTCTGTTGAACACTCTAGGACACAACTATTCAATTTTTTCTGTGTTATCTTTTTCCTTCTTGAAAGTAGGAATTTTATGAACTCAGGGTAAAGCAGGTCTCCCTTTTTATAAGGAGCGTTTATTCAGCATACTTCTATATTGCAGCTGCTGATCATATTTCATAGAGCTGTTAAAGCACTTAAAACCTAAAATTAGGTACTGTCTGGTAGTAAATATTTCAAATCACTCCTTGAAGAAACGGGCTTAAAAAGGAGACATTTTGAAATATATCGTCGAGAAAAAGTAATCTTGCATTGCTTTTACTCATTGCAATACCAATGTAAATCACTGATTTCAACACAGTGTACTTTTTCGTTAGGTTTTCTTAATCTCCTGGATTTTTATTGTGATTTTATGCTGGCTTTACTTGATATCATAACCAGCTACTTTGCTCAAGCTATGTTTATGATGGCAATGCTTGAATTAACAGGTGTCGAATTAACTTCTAACATACCTGTGCTTCCAGTGAGTATTCTTGTGATACTAAGAACTGAAATGTAAGTTTCCTTGCTTCCTGGTGTGCATGTTTCTGGCTGTTAGTTGCAGAGGGTGCACACTTGCTTTTTTCCAAATTTTGGATTAGCTAATTTACAGATTATTTACAGTATTTTCCAGTTGGGGGCTGGGGTTAGGTTTGTTTTTTAGTTGAGTATAGGAATACTTGCTCACTAGCTTTCATTTTTGGTATTGGTACTGTCAGTGTTTGCAGGGAAAATGCAAGCACAGGGACATCAGACTGACAGACATATGTCAAGTTGATAAAGTATTTTTAAAGCTTTTTGGAAGTTCACCACTAAACCAAGTCTGGTAGCAGCAACACTCATATGTCTTTGCTTTTTTCTTTGTACATGAGAATCCAGTAGTATTTCTGCTATCTGATACTGATATATCTGTAATCTTCCTGACATTTGTGTTAAAAATCCCAGCATTTATGGCATGCAACTGGAAGAAAAGTGTTGATTTTCAGTCATCGATTGAGAGGTTTATAAGTACACCTTATAAGTGCTATTTTTCTTTATTGGATTTAAATATTGTGTAAATGTGTGTCCAACTTAACCTTTTTCTGTCATTGAAAAGCGCTAATTGATCTTGCTGACCCTGACATAATAGTATAGTTTGATATTCGAAACCTTTCAGCTTTGGCATGGCCTTTTTATCACCCCTGAGATTTCAGGGCATGATTCTACTGAAGGTATAAACTGCTTCTCTTTGTAAAATTAAATAAAAATGGTTATTAAAAATAAATTATCGTCTTTTAAAGTCAGTAGATGTTTTACCTATCAAAGCCTCAGGCTTTACAATATGTATTAAAAACTTTCTGAGGTACTTCTATGTATTAGGTGACATTTTAGACGTTGCTGTACAGAAATCAGATTTTTATGAAATAATTTTTGGCCAATTCCACATTTCTGTGTTGCAGTGTTATTAAATCTGTCATTAAATCACAAGTGGTTAAAGGAACTTGGACACATTTTGCAATGCAAAAGCTCAGATAAGAAGAGCGCTCATATGTCAAATAAATAATAAAATCTATTTGAAAAGGCAGTAAAACTCACATTTTTAGTCTACATTGTAGTTTGCAATGCTGCCAGAAGGATTGCTTTTGGGATGCCTGTAATATAGGACCTTAAAGGCAAAAGCTATTTTAAAGAATGTTCTTCTTTTTATCTCCAAGCCCGAAAAATGTGTTGAATAACTGGCTGCCTTTTCGTTTTAACGTTAAACAGTGAAAATTACTTTGATGATTGATTATCCTATATTGAAATGTATCACTGGGCAGTCTCAGTCACAGGACTGTATAGGCTAGTCATTAGGCTTTTGAGCAAAATGTCAAATGCTAATGGCTGTCTGAGGAATACTAAAGTTTAAGCATTTTATTTTCAATTTGTTAAAATTTAACTTATTTCTCCAAGGGAAGATTATAATAACTGGTGATTATCTTCAGAGCTTCTCACTCCATAAGCCAGTCAGGCTTTTTTGGTTTTAGGCTGTTAGGCTTGGGTAGTAGACACTAAAGTTTGAGTTAGGCTGCAGTTACCATGGATTTGAAAATAATTAGTTTGGAGGATTTCTATGCATAAATTAATTTAGAGATCTATGTCTTTTTCCTAGAACTAACTAAATAAATACTATTACAGTGACTTTTCACTGAGCAGCTGTCTGTAGAACTGCAGCAGAGGGCAGTTCTGTTGGATGTAATTTAAATGCTGTCTCTAAAAAACTCAGTCTGCCTGGGCTGACTGAATACTCTCTTTGCGCTAGGGTTGTGCCAGGCTATACAAAATTTGACTAATTTGGAGCAGAAAATTACAGAAAAGACCTCCCAAGGCAGCCTGAAAAATATTCACACAAAGACTGATTTTTTTTGCATAGATGTTAACTTATTAGTTACGTGATTTAGTTAATATGCACTAGATTTTTTGGCAGCATTAAAATGAAATACTATTGTGATGTGACCCAGTATAAGCTCACGTTCTCAGCAGTGAAAAATTACTGCTGCCTTTTTTTTTAAATTGGGTAGATCAGCAAGTAACTAGTCTACTCTTGACATATATATAATTAAACCACAAAAACCTACATTAAAATACCATGGAAGGTCTGATTTAGACCATAAAAGTAAAAGAAACACAGAGCTGAGTTTGCAATTTTTCAAATAATTCTCCTCTATGACTGTGTGTATATAACTATTGAAATCAATGCTGGTGCAAGAGGTAATTGGAAACTTAACTTGATGTTTTGTGCCAGATCCTTAGCTGTTGCAAATTGAAGTAGGAATTCTGAAATTACTGGAGTGGTCTCACATTATGCCAGATGAGTATCTAGTCCTCTATTCTTAGTTCAGTCTGCTCAATATACATTATATGTGTGAGATTACATGCACAGAGAAGTGATCCTGAAATACTTAGGAAAATAAAAAAGAGAGTTAAGTGCAAATGTCCAAATTGTATTTTTTTTCTTTCTTTCAAGGCACTTTCATACTCCTATGTAAGAACTTTTTTTTTTGTTTCATTTTATACATGACCACAGAAATACCTTTTACAGTAACTGTACTTTTGAAAATGATGCGGTTAGAAATATTGCTAATTGTCTGTATTTTTTAAAAATTCTATTAAGGCAATATTGTTGCTCAAAGAAATGAGTAATTACGTTGTGCTCGTTCAGGGACATTTAATGAAATCCAAGCCTATTCAATGAAAGGCATGAAGTCCATATTAAATCCCGTCTGGATGTTTCTTTTTATTCACTGTAGTGTATTCCCAGAACATCACAGAAAATGAAGTTTGCCTTACTCCCAAGAGAGAGCAGCTAAACCAGCTTCTGTACACTTCAGTTTGTGCATCCTGACATCATGCTGCATATGAGGTCTTTCTTCCAGCTCTCCTGAGTGTCCCAGCATAGA